TCATGTAAAATAATATGATTGCATGTCCTATAGGTCTAAATATATCCCTGGTATTCCTACCAGATAGAGTCAGATGATCACAGTCTGTTGTGCTATAGATATTCTTGTAATGTTTTATTTTCTAATTTAAGTGTGTTTGGATTTCTGTTTATTTGTTTATTTATTTTCACAGTGCTGAAAGCTGAATATAGAGCCTCACAACTACAGGTAGGCAAGCAAGCAATCTACTGGTTAGCCACAACCTTCGCCCTTGAGATTCTTTGGAAATGGCAATAATATTGTATGTCCTATTAGTAACAGTACTTGAACCAGCAGCTTCTCCTGCCCTTATGAAGAGATTTTCGAACTCTCTTCTTAGGAGTTTCCTTTTCCTGGAGGAGGCTTTGCTGCCAGTGTGTGTTCTGGGTTAAACACTTCAACTTTCACTCTTCTTCCCCAGATGAAAGCCAGGCTATGACTTCTGCCTGCCTCTTTCTCTGTTCCTAAATTCTTTCTATGGAAATTTAAATAACATCTTGCCTAAAGTTATGCATTCTAATCCCTAGAATTCGTCCATATGTTTACCTTTATGCTATGTGGGACTTTTAAGTTTGATCACGAATTTTGAGCTAAAGATATTGTGGATATTTGGGGCAGGTTCAGTGTAATTGCAAGATAGAGGTAGGAGATTCAGAGTTGTAAAAGGATGTGAGACTGACATGGAGGTCAGAGAAAAGAGGAGATATTGTTTTGTTGGCTTGAAAAGTAAAGGAAGGAACCATAAACTAGGAATAGAAACAAGCTTTATAAGATGTAAAACCAAGGAAATGGCTTCTCTTCAAAAGCCTCCAAAAAGGAAAAGCTTGCTAACATTTTATGCTAAGAAAATGTAGTTTTAGATTTCTCATTACCAGAATTAAAACTCATACATTGGCGTTTTACCCAGTAAGTTTGTGGTAATTTGCAATTCCTATTTAATATATATTTAATCTGAGTCACCAGCCAGACACAGAGGAAGCAAGATGACAAGGCAGAACTGAGAAAAGGTACCAAGCCATGCGGCTAAACATAGATAAGAATTATGGGTTAATTTAAGTGTAAGAACTAGTCAGTAATGAGCCTGAGCTAATGGTCGAGCAGTTATAATTAATATAAGCTTCTGAGTGATTATTTTATAAGCTAGCCACAGGACTGTGGAGGCTTGGAGGGACCAGAGAAACCTTCAGACTACAGGCTCCTAAACTGTGTAAGTGGAGAAAGGGAGTTGAACAGCAGGATGCATTCATCATTTTCTATGCTTTCTCATTATGGATACAATATGACCTATTTAATATATATTTAATCTGAAAGTAAAGTGCTGCTGTATGTAACAATATATAAAATGTTTAGGTGGTTTTATTGTTTTACTTTATAACTTTTAATAAATTGTATTGTACATTCACCACAAGGTCCAGATGAATGTTTCATTATGCTAAAATTATACCAAATGATATAAACCTTATAGTTTTAAAAGCATTAGCTTTTTACAGAACACTGAGGTAGTTTTCAAAACATATTCCTTGAAAATGTGATTAACACAACACTGTGGAAAGTTTGTCATGTAGCATCCTCAGGCATGATTTTATTTAAATTATTTGAGTATGTTTTCCTCCTGAGAAACTTTTAGAGATTCAATTACAGATTAGGAATTAAGTCTTTTGGATAATGCTCCATAATAACTTAATCATGATTTGTGTTACTGTACTGTGAGTCCTTCAGATTGTCTTATTAATAAAGCTCACAATTTTTTATAGTTGCCACATTGCTCCCACATTTGTGTAATTAGTGCTGCTTCATTGACATATCTTCATAAAGAAAAAATATCAGCACTATCATAGCAGTTTCCTGTCTCCTGGAAGGAACATTACCAGGATTACCCATGCTATCCTCAATCCCAAAATGCATATTTTGTCTACCAGTACCTGTAGGATCTGTAGGGTACTGACATTATGCTTAAGCATACTGCCTTGGACTTAAAGGCCCATCAGGATCCTTTCTGCTCTCATACTCCTGTGAACATTTGAGTAAGATCTAAGTACTCTGAGGTAACCTGGAAAAATAAAACAAAACACCATGCAACCTTCCATGTTTTAAGTAGAAGTGTCATGAAAGAAACAGCCACCATACCACCTAGCCATGCACAAGTGCTGAGAGATCCTGGGAAACACAGGACGGTCTTTGAAACTTCTGGTGGAAAGGAGTAGCCCTTTTTTGTGAGCCTGAGAGTAACCCTCCAGTTCTCCTGCCTAGATGACAGATGAGAGTGTTTCCTGGTGAGCAGAAATGTAGGTGTTTGGCATTATTGTGGCAGTCTTGGAATGCTATTGATTCTTCCAAGTAAAATGGATAACTTTTTTTACAATTGGATAACTCATTGAGGATGGAAGAATATTGAGAAACCTGCTAGAAAAAAGCTAGATAACTTGAACTAGATTGTAGAAATACAGATGTTAAAGACCAACAGTGAGGACTTGGAAGCAAGTGCAGAGCATAGAAATAATTTATATCAATGTTATTTCTTTTGAGACAGGATCTTACATAGCCACGGCTAGACTTGACTATTTATGTATCTCTGCTGGTTACTGTTGTCAACTTGACAGAATCTATAATCACTTGGGAGATGTTCTTCTGGGCATGCTCATGGACTATTTTGATTGAATTAATTGAGGTGGGATGATATTCACATTGTGGGTGATGACATTCCTTGGTTGGGCTCCTGCTGTGGGATGTCGTTCTGTATGCTGTGAATATGTGTTGCTCTGATTGGTTGATAAATAAAGCTGTTTGGCCAGTAGCCAGGCAGGAAGTATAGGCAGGGCTAGCAGATGAGGAGAATTCTGGGAAGAGGAAGGCTGATTCAGGAGTTACCAGCCAGACACAGAGGAAGCAAGATGACAAGGCAGAACTGAGAAAAGGTACCAAGCCATGCGGCTAAACATAGATAAGAATTATGGGTTAATTTAAGTGTAAGAACTAGTCAGTAATGAGCCTGAGCTAATGGTCGAGCAGTTATAATTAATATAAGCTTCTGAGTGATTATTTTATAAGCTAGCCACAGGACTGTGGAGGCTTGGAGGGACCAGAGAAACCTTCAGACTACAGGCTCCTAAACTGTGTAAGTGGAGAAAGGGAGTTGAACAGCAGGATGCATTCATCATTTTCTATGCTTTCTCATTATGGATACAATATGACCAAATGCTTCAGTTCCTGCCATATTGACTTTCATGTCATGATGGGCTATACCCTTGAACTGTGACCTATATATAATAAACCCTTTGTCAAGTTGTCTTTGTGGAGGTAATTTATCACAGGAAGATAAAGGTAAACTAAGGTAGAAATTGGTGATGAGAGGTGGGGCTATTGCTATCTGGTCCATAAACATTTAAAACTAGTTTCAGGAGGAATGTGGAAGACTGCAGAACTTTGGGGTAGAAAATCCCTTGAATTCTGAAAGCACAACTCAATGAGTAATTCTGGTAGTGTCTTGAAAGACGGTGACGCCAGAAGAAATACTAACAGTGGAGGCCAGGTTTATGGAGTTTAAGGGATTTTCTTAGTTATCTTTAACTGTCAACTTAACACATCCTAGAGTCATGTGAGCAGGTAATCTCAATTGAGGAATAGTCCAGATCAAATTGGCCTGTGGAAATGTCTGTGATGAGTTGTCTTGATTGAGAATTGATGTAGGAGGGCCCAGCCCACTAGGGGCAACATCATTCCTTGGGCAGGTGATCCTGGGCTGTATAAGCATAAGCCAGTGAGCAATCTAGCAAGCACAATTTTGCTGTGGTTTATGTTTCAAGTGCCTGTTTGTGTTCCTGCCTTGACTTCCCTCCATAATGGACTGTTACCTAGATTGTAAGCCAAATAAATCATTTCCTCCCTTACTATGCTTTTGGTCAGAGTGTTTTTTACAGCAACAAAAAGAAATGTAGGACAGATTGGGAAAAGGACTCAATAGGTAATAGGCTAGGGGCCATTTGTGTGATATTTTGACCAATAATATGGCTTCTTTCTACCCATGTCCTGAGAATCTGAGTGAAGTTGAATTTAAAGATAATGAACTAATTTATTTGACAGAGGAAGTTTGAAGACAGTAGAGCAGTCAAGTTGATGCTGAAAAAGCAGCTGTAATTGTTAAAAAGAGATCATCATGACTGAAGGTAAACCTCCTGTGTTGCACTGAAACAATAGGGAAGGTGACCTGGTGGCAAAACTCCACCCACCAGAGGCTCCAGAGAAGAAGAGCCAATACTTCCCAAATTATTTCATAACGTAAGAAAGCAAAGAATGTTACCAAATCTTCTTTACAAAGAAAGTATTACCTTAATATCAAAACTAAACAGCAATCAAACAAAAATAGAAAGTTACAGACTAAGCTTCCTGAAGAACACAGTGCTGTGGAACAGTCTTTGTACACTGTGAATATGTGTGACTCTCATTGGTCAATAAAGAGCTGACTGGCCTATAGCTGGGCAGGAAGAGATGGATGGGAGAGCCAGACTAGGAGGATACTGGGAAGAAGAAGGGCGGAGTCTGAGGAGTCACCAGCCAGACGAAAAGAAAGCAGGACACACAGGAGAGGTAAAAGCCACAAGCCTTGGGGCAGCACTTGGATTAATAGAAATGAGTTAATTTAAGTTGTAAGAGCTAGTTAGTAATAAGCTTGAGTTATCGGCTGAGCATTTATAATTAATATTAATCCTCTTTGTGGTTATTTGGGAGTAGCTGCCAAGACACAGTTGCAAAAAATGTAAACCAAATGCAGGAACACATCAAAAAGATCATTCACTATGATCAGTTTAACATTATTTCATGTAGGGATCATTCAACATATGCAAATCAAAAATGTCATGCATCGTGTAAAATTTACATTTACATTGTAAATGAACTCAAGGATAAAAATCACAAGACCGGCCCGGCTGGAGGGGGCCGCTGGGTGTGGGGCGGCTCCGGGGCCGGGGATGGCGGCGGCCGGTGGTGGCTCCAGGACGAGCGGGAGGAGTCCAGGGAGCTCCGTGAAATGGGCCGGCTCCCAAGCCAGAGGGGAGGACACTTACTAAAACTGCTCAGAAGTACCACCAGAAGCTCAGATGTGGGCACCCCAGCCAGCAGCAGAGAAGGGTGCAGGGAAGCCACAGAGAAGTCCCTTCTGATGCCCCAAGGAGCAAGCAAACCCCATCCAGGCTCCAGGAACACCGCAAAGCAATATGAAACCTGTTCATGAAAGGAGTCAGGAATGCCTTCCACCAAAGAAACAAGACCTCCCTGTGACCAGCGAGGACATGGGGAGAACTGCCAGCTGCTCCACAAACCACACGCTCTCCAATGATGCCTCTGATGGGAGCCAGAGTCAGCCTCGGGGACGATGGAACTGAGGCCATCACTGGTCTGACAGTCGATCAGTATGGCATGCTGTATAAGGTGGCTGTGCCACCTGCCACCTTTTCACCAACTGGCCTCCCATCTGTTGTGAACATGAGTCCCTTACCCCCCACGTTTAATGTAGCGTCTTCACTGATTCAACATCCAGGAATCCACTATCCCCCAGTCCACTATGCTCAGCTCCCATCCACCTCACTGCAGTTTATTGGGTCTCCTTATAGCCTTCCTTATGCTGTGCCACCTAATTTCCTACCTAGTCCCCTTCTTTCTCCTTCTGCCAACATTGCCACTACTCACCTTCCACACTTTGTGCCATATGCCTCACTCCTAGCTGAAGAAGCTACTCCTCCGCCCCAGGCTGCATCTCCAGCCCAGACATTTAACAAGTCCTCCTCTGCCACCTCCCCACCCGGCCAGTTGCCACATCACTCGAACGCTCAACCACTGGATCTTGCTCCAGGCCGGATGCCCATTTATTATCAAATGTCTAGGCTACCTGCTGGATATACCTTGCATGAAACTCCAACAGCAGGTGCCAGCCCCGTTCTTACCCCTCAGGAGGGCCAGTCTGCTCTCGAAGCAGCTGCTGCCAATGGACAGAGACAGCGAGATCGAAATGTAGTAAGACGAGAAAGTGAAGCCCTTGATTCCACCAGCAGCAAGGGTGAAGGCCAAGGACTGGTGCCGGTGGTAGAAGGCATGGTGGACGGACAGTTGTTTTCAGGTTCTCAGACTCCACGAGTGGAGGTGGCGGCGCCAGCACACCGAGGGACCCCGGACACCGACCTTGAGGTCCAGCGGGTAGTTGGCACTTTAGCTTCTCAGGACTATCGTGTGGTGGCAGCTCAGAGGAAAGATGAAGCCAGCCCTCTTAACCTATCCCATCATACCCTTGACCATCAGGGTGAGGGACGAGGGTCAGCCAGGAATCCTACAGAACTGGTGGAGAAAAATCAGGCCCGTGTGTTCTACCCTCAGTCCCATCAAGAACCAGTAAAACACAGACCTTTACCCAAAGCAATGGTTGTAGCCAATGGCAACGTGGTGCCCACTGGAACTGACCCTAGCCTGCTGCCTGTAGGCTCGGAGATCCTGGGGGCACCAAGTCTGGACATGCAGGCCAGAGCCACCTTCCCAGACAAGGAGCCAACACCACCTCCCGTTACCTCCTCCCACTTGCCCTCCCATTTCATGAAAGGCGCCATCATTCAGCTGGCTACAGGAGAGCTGAAGCGGGTAGAGGACCTCCAAACCCAGGATTTTGTGCGCAGTGCCGAAGTGAGTGGGGGGCTGAAGATTGACTCTAGCACAGTTGTGGACATTCAGGAGAGCCAGTGGCCTGGATTTGTTATGCTGCATTTTGTGGTTGGTGAACAGCAGAGCAAAGTGAGCATTGAGGTGCCTCCCGAGCACCCCTTTTTTGTATATGGCCAGGGTTGGTCCTCCTGCAGCCCTGGGCGGACTGCACAACTCTTCTCTCTGCCCTGTCATCGGCTCCAGGTGGGAGATGTCTGCATCTCTATCAGTTTACAGAGCTTGAACAGTAACTCAGTTTCTCAGACCGGCTGTGCTCCCCTAGGCCAGCTGACTATACCCCGAGAAAGGCCTGAGAGGACAGTCTTGGGGCCCAGAGAACTATGTGACAGCGAGGGGAAGGTCCAACCTTCAGGAGAGGGTTCCCGGGTGGGAGAGCCCTCTCAGCCTGAGCCTGGTGCTCAGGCCTGCTGGCCAGCCCCAAGCTTCCAAAGATACAGCGTGCAAGGGGAGGAGGCACGGGCTGCGCTGCTCCGTCCCTCTTTCATTCCACAGGAGGTAAAGCTGTCCATCGAAGGGCGTTCCAATGCAGGAAAATGAACCTCTTTCCCAGCCCAGGACTGGGGCTTTATCCCCAGAGGTGAGCCTCACCGTGAGCAGCCAGAGGATTTGCACATGCCAAGCAGAGAATGGTTCTCTTGGTAGTGAGATTTGAGGGAAATAGGAGGCATGAAGACAGCCTCCCAAAGCAGGATCTGTTGCTCATTAATTACCCCATGGCATCCTTTCAGGACAGCCCTAGGGATGCTGAGATGAGGAATAGCAGGCTTGGAGCAAGAAAGGGCGGGAGTGCACATAGGATAAGAAACATTCCAAAATCAGGGCCTCCCTGTTTTTTTCCTACTCGGTCCTGGCTCCTGCAAGGGAAAGTACAGGCTTTGGGAGCAGGTGGCAGAGGGAGCAAAGAAAGAGCCAAAAATGATCCACAGCTTATAGTAGCAGTAAAACTGTTTTCTTTCTTTTTTCCTCCCCCTCCCTTTCTTGTGGTGGGAGGGCAGGAGGCCCAATGGCTGAAAATGAGAAGGTTCCCACCCATAACTCTTCTTGTGAGAGACGTGCATTTTAAAGGGTGATTTTTGTTACAGATGTTTATGGCTGGGGTTGGAGTTGGGAAGCACCATGATCTACGGAACTCTGCTTGACCCTTTGCTTCTGCCCATTGCCATCTCACCTCCCATTCCTCTGTAAGGCTTTCTAGCAGTTTAGGGGCCAAAAGAGAGAGGAGAAATCCCTTCAGGGCTGAGAATGAACGACTGCCTTGCCGGGACCCAGTCGGGGGCTTTGGGGAAAAGACTTGACTGCTAGATGATGGGCTCTAGGCAGGGCTTTTGAAAGGTGGCTGACCCAACAAAACTCCAGCTCCACGTGTCAGGCCTCCTTTGACATTTCCCTGAGTCTCTAGTAGTGACTTTGGAAAGACCTGGAGGACCTTTTCCTCTAGGCACCCACACTCCTCCATTATCTGTCTATGTTGTGCCTAAGTGCCTGCGCTGCCCCCGCCCTTCTGCTGCCCTGACCTCTGCATGGTGTCTTGATCTGGGCCTCACGTGTAGCTGCACTGCCTTTGTCCACTAAGACCTCTAGTTTTTGGTGTATAAGGGTCTCTGGTTTCCCTATCGGCTCTAACTTTTATACTTAGAAACTCAATCATGTCCTCTTTCCCTGGCAGCACTATAGTGGAGAAACAGAAGAAACCATGCCCTAAGCTGAGCATTTCCCATTCTGGTGGTTTTACTTGGCCCCTCCCATCTCAACCCATTGCCTCTCAGCATTTTGGCATCTCCAAACTGTGCCCTTCCACTGTCAGCTCTGCAAGTCCAGGATAGTCCTTGTAACATCTTAGCGGCTGTTTCCCTGTGTGGTGGTGGGTTCTTCTACAAAGAGTATTTGCTATCTTGGGTGTGTTTGCTGCCATCTCCCTTAAACCACATTTCACCTGCAACTTGTAGTGTCAGCTTGGCCTGTAGGATTCCACTGGGTATTAAGATGTAGGCTCCCCCACCAACTTTCAGGTGGTTGAGTATTTTTTGTGTGGATTTTTTTTTAAAGGGGGAGTGTGTGGTTCTTTAGACTCTTGAAGGCAACTCAGGGTATTGTCCACCCAGCTCTCTAGTTAGACTTCTCCTCAAGTATGATTGTGGCATTTCCTTCATAGATAGACTTGGAGCAGTCAAGACCTGGCCTGTCATCAGGAGTTCCACACTTCTGAGGTATGAGCAAAACTTAAGGCAAGTCTTGTGATCTCTCACTCTTTCACTTCCTCCCCAGCTGCCAAATGGGGATAAATAATCTTACCTACCTCCTGGGGGGAGGGGAAGTTCTGAGAATGGAGTCATTCTTAGTGTTCAGGTGCTAAAGGTTCTCTTCGGAAATAGAGTGACAGAAGCTGGCTGGCGGGCTGCAAGCCCTACATTCTGTTTCAGACCTTGAGAGCAGATACCTGGTCAGCAAGCTTTTCGGGGAACATCCAAAGGAAGCTGCTTAACTTAAGCTGACAAGTCCTTAAGTCTAGGAGTTTTGTCAGAATCCGACACCAACCTTGTGCTGTGGTGGAGATCACGTTCTTTCCCCTCTCTTGCCCCCATTCCCTGATTGCTGCTTCTCTGGCTTATTTCCTACAGCGGGGGCCTGTGGGGTTGAGTCTTGAGGAATTCTCTCAAATGAGAGCTGTAGGAGAAGGCCTCCTCTCTGTTTGGTGAGCAACTCATTCCTAGGGATTAATGTATGCATGGGTTTCTTGAAAGCCCCTTTCTCACCGAAGGTTCAGCCTGGGAATTTAGTGACATGCACTGTAGATGCTCAAGAAATGTCTACCAGGGATACCACTGAGCTTCTTCCTAATGGGGCCAACGTGCATCTGGTTGTAGTTGAAGTCAAATCACTCTCTACTCAGACTAGTTGTAGCTTTCTACAAAGCTGGTAATGCCCGCTGAATCCTGGAAAAAGAAATTGTTGAAGACTTGGCCAAATTGGGCACTGACCTTTCTGCTGTGGTTCCTTTTTTATCCCTGTCTGATAAAGTAATAACAGTAACTCCCTTAATATGGTGCCATGCATTCGTAACACGCTTTTGCTGAGCTGAGGGCTCCCTTTCCTGAAGTGTGCACCCCTAGAAAAGAATGCTTGTCAGAGCTGTGGCAGTGCTTACCCTAAGTGTGTAAGAGACATGAGTGGTCTTTAGAGTAAGCATTTCAGTGGTTAGCTGTCAGCTTTTGGGGACTGGGCAGTTGACAAAGATCAGCCTGTTCCCAGTCAGTGATAGGACATTTCCAGAACTTGGAGAAAGTTCTGAAACTGAACGGAAATACAGATGCCAATTTAGAAGAAGGGGAACTTGGTAAAGGATGATGGATAATCTAAGATCATCCTTATCAAGATAGGAAGTGGAGAAGGGGCTTGGACCCTCAGAGGTGAGGGAGGAGCCTGAGTAGAGCTAGACTGACCCCTCTTTACACTTAGGGTCCCATTTGGTCCTAACACCATGGGCTTTGCTCTGTGCTGCTTTGGCCACTGCTGTTGTCTGCTCACTGTCCTGCCTGTTGCCCATTTAGCTCCTGTCCTTCATGTCTTTGGCCATGTAGACTAAGCTCAGACATCCAGTCTATTCTAACTTGTGTTCTACCAGTGTTTCTGCACAGCACAGTCATGTTAGACAGGGTTGGTCTGCATGCTGTTGATGGGCTAGTAGATCTGGAAGGATGTGGCTTCAGTGCTGCCAGGAGCCCGTTGGCTCCAAAAATTTGCCTGTCTTGAGAGAGAAACAAGCGGGTCCTACTAGAGACTGTCTTTTCTCTCTTTTATGGTACTTTGTAGCGTGTTTCAAGACAAGAAAAACCAACTATGTTAGGTCTTGAGCCAGGATCCTAGTAGCATTCCTCTAGCCCCATGTTCTGGGGTTGAGAAAGAGTTTGAAGTTTGGCTGAAATAGCTCCTCCATTTGGGTTTAATTTTCTTTTTGCCAGTGGGTATCCTAGGCCTTTTAAGAGACGAACAGGATGGTGGCATGATTTAAACCTGCATTGAGTAGGCATATTGAGTGGTTACACTGGCATGAGCTGAAGGACATTGGGAAAAGCTCAGGCCTTTGGAGTAAAGATAACCAGATTCATTGAATTGGCCATGGGAGATTAGGCCACAGTCCTAGAAGCAAACAGGACAGAGGCCAAGTTTTAGAGAGGTGTGTTGACCTCCTAGGATTAAGTTTACTAAACTACACTGAAGCTATAGTACTTTCTAGATCAGAAAAGTTGTACACTACAGTTGAAGAGCTGAATTCTACTATAGATGGATGTTAGCCTTTGCTTGGAAGCCTTCACCTTCTAGCTTCCCCAGGGTTAGAAAGGTCTCCCACATTATGCAATAATAAAATAAGTATCTGGGTCTTTGCAGCTATCAGTTTTTTTCAACTCTAGGATCCATCTTTGGACCTAAAGCCTGGTCTGGGCCTAGGATGACATTGGCCCTTGATTCTAGAGTTGGTTGCATTCTCTCCTTACCTGCAGACTATGCACAGTTCCTGGGGCAGAGGGAGAAGTGGTATGGCTTGCCCTGTTGAGCCTCCTCAGCAGGAATACTAGTAATAAATGCACTTTTCACGTTAAAGGTTTCTTTATTAGTTCTCCTGTTAAGCCTAGGCTCTTCCCCTAGTAGATTGCAAACTCAACATTCTGTGTGATCCCAAAGCCATCCACTGCAAACGCTTAGCAGTAAAGATGGCCTCAGACTGGGTTCCTGTCTGCAATGTGTGTGGCAGCAGCCCATGTGCCTTTACCTAATGTCAGACTTGGAAGCATTTAGTCTGTCTTTATGTTAGGGGGTCTTAGGTACTTCAGAGAGAGAGAGAGAGAGAACAGATAACACAGTGGTTTTATGCCCACCTCACCCCCTGCCAGGGACTTTGTGTGTAGTTGTCAACTGTGAGGGTTGGTGAGCTGCTGGTATTGCTGAAGGCAGGGTGGACCCCTCATTTGCTTCATGTGTGCACTCAGTGAATTGGATTGGGGAAGAGACTGACCGTACTCATGGCTAACTTGAAGTATTAAAATACGGCTGTCCTCTACACACTTCCTAGTCACACAGGATCCCTGTAGCCAAAACAGTATATGTTCCAGCTGCAGAGAACAGACTGCTCTCAGCTTGCACAGCACCTTAGGGGAGGGAAGAATATATGGATAGGTGATTGGGGTGGAGAACAGATGGGGATTTTGTCATCCAGGTGGTTTTAGGGTCCTAAGGAGTAGAGAAGGATGGCACTGGGGAGGTCTGGATGGATCTGATTTGTGTAAGAGTTCCCTGTAGATAAATTACTGATCCCCAACCACTATCCCCAGTATGTAATGGCTGAATTAATATGTAATCAACTGCATTGTATCTAAAGCCTTAGAACTAGTCAGGTGCTCCTCCCACCCAATACCATTTCTTACCCTCTAATCCTACCTGATCTTTAACAAAGCATTAATAATTCTAAGGATAATCTCTATTTTGTTGTGCTTTTTTGTAACTGTTTTAAATAAATCAATTTGTACTGTAAAAAAAATCACAAGACCATCTGAATAGTGCAGAAAAGCATTTTGACAAAATAAACTATTCTTTCATGATAAAATTACTGAAGAAAATGGGAATAGAAAGACTATATCTCAACATAACAAAGGCAAAATGTGGCAAACCTGCAGCGAATGCTATATAAAATGGAGAAAAGCTCAGACCATTTTCTACAAAAGTCAGCAACAAAAAAGGATGTCCACATTCATCACTCTCGTTCAGTACAGGAAGTCTTAGCTGGAAAAATCACAAGAGAAACTAATAAAGGGAATACAAATAAGAAAGTGAACTCCAAGTATCACTATTTGAAGATGATATGATTCAATAAATAAAAGATCCTAAAGACTTCACTAGAAAAAATTTAGCTGATAAACACTGTCAGCAACTAGCAAGATACAGAATTAGGGGGAAAAAATCAGTAGCTTTCCTTTATACCAATAACAACATGCAGAGGAAGAAATTAGGGAAAAATCGCTTTCATAAAAGTCAAACAAAAAATACTGGGCAATAAACCTA